TGATGGAGAAGCGTGGCTTGACGTGTGTCAAGCGTGACACAGACGTAACGGAGAATCCGGTAGTTTTTCAAAATAAAACATCTTTCGTATTCCGAAATAAATAAAATGGAATTAAGACAAGTTCTTTCTGTGCAGCCTGGTACCAAATGTCCGGCGGACCGATATCGGTCCGCGGACCGGCGGTTGGGGACCCCTGCTCTAAATTGTCCATAGGTGTGAGTGTGAGCGTGTATGATTGTTCGTCTGTGTGTGCCCTGCGATTGGCTGGCAACCGATTCAGGGTGTACCCCGCCTACTGCCCGGAGACGGCTGGGATAGGCTCGAGCACCCTCCGTGACCCTTGTGAGGATAAATGGATCGGAAAATGGATGGATTGATGTAGTGCATGGAGACTGGGGCTGTTCTTCAGGGAATGCTAGGAAACATTCATTTTTCTTCTTGGTTCTCAACGGAGGCTGCCGACTTTGTCCCGTGCAGTCTTTGTTTCTAAAACTATAAGCCGAGCCTCCTGCTGCATTTTACTCCAAAAATCCAAATTGCGGTATTGATCAGCTTGCCTCTCAAAGTAATAGACCAAATTTTCTCAAAAACATCGAGAAAGAGGGAGATTTCTTGTCCAGACGGAACATTTGCGGCCGTGGATACAAGTTTGGAAGACGTTGGCAAACAAACAAAAAAAAAAAGTACTGTACTGTAAACAATAATCTTGTTTTGATGACCCCAGTGTCAATCACTTCGAGCAAAGCGAAGACCGCAGTGACTTTGTTTTAACAAAATAAGCGTTAGCGACTTTTGCTAAAGCAGTGAAAACATGAACTGAACACCTTTTTTTTCTTTCTGTGGACAAATGACATGTATCCCGCCATAAGCAAAGTGCGAAAACAAGATCAGACCGCCAAGCAAAACTGGCTGTCGACAACACCCACTTGACCACCCTGACTTTGTTTTCATGACCGTAGTGTGGACGACCTCATGCAAAGTGTGAAAATAAGAAGTGAGTTACTTTGTTTTAATGAACTGAGCGTTGACGGCTGCCCAGAGAATCAGTAAAAAAAAAAAAAAAAAAAAAAAAAAAAACAACCCGGCCTCATTT